CCCATCTGGCTAGGGCCCGAGCGAGAGTGGCTCGGGGCTTCCTGGCCTGGGAGAGTTAGAGCCCAGGAGAGGAGGGCCGGGGGTCTGCACACTTCCCCACAGGACCCCTGAGCAGAGACCTGCAGTAGGGGTCTCGGAGGAGGTGGGCAGCTCCAGATGGGAGAGCTCGGCTGCCGGGCCCCAAAGAGGCCAAGCGCACCTGTCACAGCTCCAGCTCGTGAGCACGACCCACAGAAGCTGCAGGCGCTGAAGGTCCAGGACCAGGGCTGTGCCTCCCTCTTAGGGTGAGAACACAGAATGCTGGCCAGGGACCACTGCCTACCTGCACCCCGTGGCCCCAGTCTCCAGCCTCAGCACCCCGCGCCAGGCTCCTCTTATGGGCTCCTCAAGCCCCTGGATCCCCTTTCTGCAGACGGTGAGGGCAGTGGGCACCCGTCTCTCCCAGTTCCAGACAAGCCAGACCGTGCACACCCCTGGGTCCAGACCCCGGACAGGACTAGGAGGCATCCAGCGGCAAATGTGTACCCCCAAACTCCAGCCACTTCTGCCCAGAGAAAGTTCCCCAGAGAGCATGAGCAGGGGGAGAGCTGCCAGGGGAAAGGCTGGCGAACACCACGGCACTGGAGTAGAGAAAGAAAGAACATTCTGGGCCCCCCCGGGGGGGGCAGTAGCTGGCCCAGGAAATCAGCAGGGGGTCTACAAAGCCCAAAGACTTCAGCAAGCCCAAGAAAGAGAAACAGAAGCAGCAGAAGCAGGTGTGTCCACAGACACAAGTCCACCAGATGGATACGTACCTGGCCATTCCAGGGGGTGTCCAGTGCACGCGAAGGAGGCTTCCAGAGTTCAGGGTTGAAGGAGGGAGCCTGAGTGGGTCCACCATGGTGGGCAGACCTTATAAAGGAGGCCCCCAGGTGTCACCGTGGTCCCAGGGAACACGTGTGACCGGTAACTCCTGGATATGCCAAGTCCCTGGATGTGGGGCCTCCTTCAGGAGGAATGGGTCCCAGGGCATGACCCTCTATCCTAGCCACAACACCCACCCTCTCCAAACCACCTGGCTGGACCTGCCTAGAATCCTTCCTGTATCACGGAACACCTCACAGAAACGAACTGGAGACAAAGTCATTCTACTTCCAATCTGTTGAGGGGAAGGTTCTCAGAAGGACCCCACAGCTTACATCATCAGGCACTGCCCAAGCTCCTGGCTTGGCCATATATGTTCAGACACATTTTCAAAGGACATCTGAGTCTCATCGTGACTTGGTTGTTCAAACTCACAGAGCTCCCTGAATCACGGGGTCCTGTCTTGCATGGGGCAGAGCCCACATATGCTTTCGGCCACAAATACTTGCTAAGCCCCGACCTCGAGCCGGTGGTGGTCTGGGTGCTGGGCACTGCCCTCGAGGGCTGACCTGCTGGGCGGAATCAACAAGCAAGGAGCCCATACAGAAAGTGACGGGCAGTGCTAAGATGAAACATATGCCTCTTATGGGGACCCAAATTCATCTTACCTCCGGAGGTAAGATCCAGAGCGGGTAACCAAGGGCTGTGGCTTACTGCATGTCCCTGGGGACAGCAGGGCCATCACCCTTGGAAGTGTGGAACCCCAGAGACCACCGCTCTTTGCCTGGGGACCTCTTGGGACACGCGCAGACCCCCCAGGGAGAGAGCCCCTAAAGCCTTCCCAAGTTGAGCCATCCCACATCATCGGGACATTACACAGAACCATGCAATGTCTGACCTTGATCCTCAACTGAAGACACACACATACACACACATACTCTTACGTGCACACTCACACACACCGACCACACACTCACTCACTCCCCTGCACACTCACATGGCCCCTCACATGCCCCTAGACCTTTCCCATGCAACCGGTGTGTTATGAGAGGCCCTCTCCCACGCAGCTCCCCAGGCCACGCTGCCATTCTGCCTCAGCTCCCTCCCCCTCCCCTGTCCTCCCCAACAGGAGGAGGAAGAAGAGGTAGAGCTTCTAGGCCTGGCGCCTTTCACCACCCTCACCGCAAGTGCCATCCAGAAAGGCAAAGAGAAAAGGTCAGGTGCCACAGCCCCTCCCAGGACCCGCGGAGTGAAGTGTACTTCCAAAACAAGCAGGTGACTGAGACTCGGCAAAGGAGCTGCCGCGCCACCGACGTCCCTGCAGGAGGAGGGGAACACCCCCCCCCCCCCCGCCCCGCAAAAGAAGGGCCCTGCAGCCCGGCCTGCCTGCCGCCAGCCCAGCATCCCCAGCTGCCCCGCCGCAGGCAGCCTCCCAGCCTGGCCAATGAGAAGCAGGATGCACGGGCGTGGAGTCCTGCCAGGCCGCGCTCCCCCGCCAGGGCACGGCCTCCCTGCGCAGAGAAGATGGTGCGGGTCCAGCCAGGGAACACCTACTGAGACAGCGCCCAAAGGCTGTGCTGACGGACGAAGGGTGCTGCCTTTATCCCAGCGGGCCTCTCGGCTCTGCGCCGGGAGGGTCCCATCAGGCTGGCTTTGTGAGCCGATCCCCTGGCTGCACAGCGAGCTGGGGGCCCGGGAGCGTCCTGGCTGAGAGCCTTGGCCCGGGTCGGGCAGCCGCAGAAGAGGCAGCCCCTGCGCCCAGGGCAGAAAGGAATCCAGAAGCAGCAAAGAAGGATGTCCCGCCGGGGATTCCTACGGCCACAACCACTGCCCCCTGGGGCCTTCCTCCCCCACCCCCCGCCACGGGAGGGCTAAGGGCTCACTCCCGAGGCGGCGAGGCCGGGAGCCGAGGACCCCGGGGGCCCGGGGCGAGGGGGCGGCGTGCTAAAGGCAAGCTCCCCGCCTCCTCCCCGCCCGCAGCCGGCCCCGCCCGCCCGGGAGTCTGAAACGCTCCCACCGGACTGGGAGGAAGGGACGCGAGCCCTCCCCGGGCGCGGCCGGCGAAGGTGGGCCCCGTCCCCGCCCCCACACGCCCGCCACGCGTAGCCCGGCTGCCGCGCGATGACGCGTGCCCAGCGTGGGGACGAGAAGGACCAGCCTGACGGGCCAGCGACACCTCCCTGGGGCTGGGCTACGGGCCCGCCCTGGGGGGGGGCTGCCAGCCCCACCCGGGCCGGGGAAGTCCGACCCTGCCCGGGTCCCCACTCCCCGGAATGCCGACCCCATGCCCGCCCGCGGGAGCCCCCACTCCGCCCCTGCTCCCCCCGCCCGCGGGAGCCCCGACTCCGCCCCTGCTCCCCCCGCCCGCGGGAGCCCCGACTCCGCCCCTGCTCCCCCCGCCCGCCGGAGCCCCGACTCCGCCCCTGCTCCCCCGCCCGCGCGAGCGCCGACTCCGCCCCTGCTCCCCCGCCCGCCGCGGCTGACACGAGTCCGGGGCTGTTGTGCGCTTGGGCGCCAGGCTTGGGGAGCTCGGCGAGGCCGTGGACCTGCGTCTGCCCCGCGTAAGTCGGCGGGGTCCGGACCGGGGAGGGGGAGCGGGGACGACCCCCTTGGCGCCGGGCAGGGCGGAGAGAAGCTGCGAGCGGGGTGCCGGGAGCGACGCGGGAGGGTCTGGAGGAGGCTGGGAGGCTGGGCTTACGGGTGGGCCCGGCGCACAGGGGCTGAGCCTCCACTCCCATCCCCCAGCCCTCCCAGCCCTCCCAGCCCTTCCGAACCGTGCCCAAGATCGGGGCTGGAGCGGGCACACACCAAAAATCAGGCGCCCTCCCTGGCTGGGTGACCCAGAGCCGCGCAGGCAGGGGGGCCATCACCCGACTCTAGGTTCCCCTTCGCCTCTCCCGCGGGGACTGGCGAGGGGCAGCATTGCTGACTCGAGAAGGGGGCTGGGATCTTGGCGGTCCCGCAGGATGGGAAGAATTAAGGGCTCTTCCTGGTGGACCGACCACCCTGGGGACTGGAGCCTACCCTGGCAAGGGGTGAAAGCTAGTTTGCCAAAGATTATGCAAGCGTATGAGGTGCCTAGGAACGTGGGCCCCCAAAGCCCCCGCTCCCTGGCCCCCGCTGAGCCACCTTCGATCTTCCAGGACAAGGACTAGCTCCTCTGTAGTGGCCCCCAGTCCCTGCATGCCTGGCTTTGTCAGAAATCAGCCCCATGAGCCTGGGGGAGGAGTGGGCCGTCCGGATCCCAGATGGCACTGTCCCCGAGGCCCCCCTGGTGCCCCTCAGGGCTCCCATTGCCTGACCCTGCTCATGTCCATCCACTCCAGCTAGTGCCTCGACTCAGCCCAGTGGGGCCTGTTTGGTTGCATGCCTGGCCGGGGACCGTGGGGACACCAGATGTGACTGGTGGCTGTGCATTCCAGAGCTTCCTGGAGAACAGCTCAGAGCTTCTCCAGGCCCAAACCTCACGTTATAGGAGAGGCAGCTGGGGCTCCTTTCTCCCGCGCTGCCCGCATCCAAAGCTCCTGTCCTAGACCCCAAGATGTTACCCCGGGCCCAGAACTGGATGGGGGAAGCCTGTTCTCTCCCCCGCATTCCTCTTCCCAGCGCCCGGGACCCAGCTCCCTGGGCCCAGAATGCCCTTCTGCCGCCCATGGCTGTCCCCCCAGGAAGGCACCAGACTGCGCCTCCCACACCTTGCCTCTTGCAGAACACGGAACCAGAGCCCCAGCTGCTCCCCCTGGGGCTTCCTCCACCAACTGTCACTGCTCTCTGCCTGGGAGAGGGTCCCAGCCTCCATACACAGATCTCCCTGGCTGAACCTCGCCGAACCTATTTTTCAGGCAGGAAATGGGGGAATAGCAGATTTTGCAGGCTCGCTGTCGTCAGCGCTGAATCCTACAGAGCGGGAAGCGCCCCTTGCCTCCACAACACCGAAGCTGCTGGAGGCTGCTGGAGGCGGGTGCCCAGGGCCCAGCCGGCCCCTGAGTCCTCACGGCAGGAACAGAAAGTTCTGGATGTGAGCTGGCTAATATTCCTGGTCACCATGCCCCCCGCCCCCAGCATCACCACCAGCAAGGGCCAGTCTCTTGGCTTCCTTTCTGTGTGGTCCTGAGATCTGTCTAGATTCCCCAGCCCGCCCAGCCGTAAGCCCCGCGAGCTCGGGGAGGGGTCTCAGCTCGGAGTGTGCACTGAGCGAGGTGGGCGGGAATGGAGCAGGAGGACCCTCCATGTGCTGGCTGTGTGGCTGCCGGAAGACAGCCCACCCCACCCCGCTGTCTATCAAATGGAGGGCAGCGTGGCTCCCAGGGCCTGTGGCTCTGGTCCCTCCTTCCAAGGGGCAGCTGTGTCCCCCACCGAGCTGTTGTCTAAGCAGGACCCGTATCTTTGGCTTTGTGAGAGCCCAGACCGGACACCCATCTCCTCCGGAATGAAGGTCTTCCTACCCGTGCTACTGGCTGCCCTGCTGGGTGTGGAGCGAGGTGAGATGCCCCCCCCGGGACCCCGGGCCCTGCCTTTGGGTGAGCCCTGCTTTCCTCTTGGACTCTCCTTCTGTCTTCTCTCCCGAGCGGTGCCCAGCAGCGCCCAGGGGACCTTCAGGCCCGTTCCCACGTGACCTGTTCCAGATGGCCCCACGGCCCTCTGCCCCAGCAGAGTGGGTCACTCCTCCTCGCTGCTCCCCTGGAGGCCTTGGGTCTGCCCCTGACACGCTCCCCGCAGTGCATTTGTACCCGGGGCCTGGGTCTGGAGTGTGACGATTGCTCGATTAACATCCACCAAGGATTGGGGGTTGCGGACTGGCAGGGGACATCGGGGGATGCCGCTGGAAGGCGCCCCAGGGCCCGAGACAGGTGTCACCTGCTGCGCCTCCCTTCCTCCGCAGCCTGCTCCCTGGTGTGCTTCTCGTGCACGAATCAGAACAGTAACTTCTACTGCCTGAAGCCGACGGTGTGCTCGGACTCGGACAACTACTGTGTCACGGTGTCCGCCTCTGCCGGCCTCGGTGAGCGCCGCCCGCCGCCTCTGCCCGTGGCCCAGGCCCCCGCCCCGCCCCCGCGCCGGCCCTCACCGCCTTGTCTTCCTGCGCAGGGAAACTGGTGGACTTCGGCCATACCCTGAACAAGGGCTGCTCCCCGATCTGCCCCAGCCCCAGCGTCAACCTCGGCGTGGCGTCCATCGGCACCCACTGCTGCCAGAGCTTCCTGTGTAACATCAGCACGGCTGGCCGGGGGCTGCGCGCCAGCACCGGGCTGCTGGGCCTTGGGCTCCTGCTCAGCCTGCTGTCCGCCCTGCCGCGGCTCAGGCCCTGATTCGTCTGCCCGGCAGCCGGCCCGGACTCCCCCAGCTCAGGAAGGAAGGCCAGGCCCCTCCCAGACCCTCCCAGACCATACGGAAGCCTCTTCTTGCGACCCCTCGCCCCGCTCGATCCCAGCCCCCGCTGCCCCGGTGCTCAGGGTCCGGCCTGCCCCTCGCGCCTCCCCCACCCCCTGAGAGGCGCCCGCAGCACTCACTCCGCAGGCGGCCGAGTGACCTTCCTCAGGGAACCTGGGAAGGACTGAGGGCGGGAGGCCGAGGGTCCCGGAGTCAGGACTGAGACCTGGGGACACACTGGGAGGGGCACGTCTGTTCCCAGCTGGGTTGGGAGCTGTGCTTTGGCCGCTGCTTCCGAGAAGGCCTGTTGTCACCATCTGAGGACGTTGTTGTCGCAGGGGATGGCCTAGCTCAGCGGCGCGGACGGGGCTTGGGTGCACCCTGGGCATGCGTGCGAGTGTGCGGGAGAGTCAGAGTTGGGGGGGGGACGGGGTCAGGAGTCCAATGTAGGCCGCGGAGCACCCTGACCTCAACAGCAAAGCTGCTTTTCTCTGGCCTTTCTGCAGCCCACATTCACTCACTTTAAGGCTGGCCTTTTGGAAGATGGGGTTTCAGTGCTTCAGGGTTTAGGCCACTGGACCCAGGAACCCCCCCCCCCCCGCCCCGCCACCGACCTCCAGCTGCGGCCCCACCCTCTCCCTCCACCCCCACATTGGATTCTGCCTGCTGCTTTGGTGCCTCAAATAAACACATGTTCTCCACCTTTTGCTCTGGCCGTGACTGCCTGTGGCCATGACTGCAGTCTGGGGGACCCCCTCCCTGCAGGGGCCTCAGTGGGGGGGACCCCCATGGCCCCACCCAGAGGCTCACATAGGGAGAGGCTCCCCTGAGTCCATAGCTCTCTGCCCTCCAGGCCTAGAAGAGAACCTCCACTCTTGGCCACGTGGAAAGTTCATCATCAGGTAGGGCAGGACAGGAAGCAGGGAGGGAGGTCAGTCTGCTTCTGGGAGGAAGGCAGCCCCCTCCAGAGGCAGGAATGGGTTTGGAGTGGGGAGAAGGAGCCTACAGGAGCAGGCACTCGGCACCAGCGTCTGGCTCTCCGGGACGCGACGATGGGATGCCGGGCCCGTCGGGTCCAAGCAGGCACAGCAAACCTGACTGGGCAGGCGGGCCCAGGGAGCGGGTGAGTGGACACTGCCCTGTGCCCACTTCATCTCTGCCAGCCACGTTGTTTCTGTGGTGACCAGGGAAGCGGTCCCCGCCAGCAAGGCTCTGTGTTCCTAGCCCACGGCTCCTTTGACTGGGCTGGGGTGCGTCGTGGCACTCCTGGAAGGTGGGGAAGTCGGTCTCTACTTGATGCCAGCGGGCCAGGTCTGAGGACCCAGAGGGGGCCCCAAAAGACGAGCTGAGAGTGTCCGTGGCTTCATGCAGGCTGGAAATCAGAAGGGAGCCAGGAGGAAGTGAGGGAAGGGCTTCCTGAGCAGCACGAGGGATAGAGCGGAGCAGACGGTGCCTGGGGCACCCGCGCCCTTGGGGTGAGCTTCCTACTGAAAAGGGGTCCGGGCTCCTGCTCCTTCAGGAATCCAGAGTAGAGTCCGTGGACAGCGAGGGTCACAATGGGAGTTAGGCCGTGACTCACTGGGGGTGGGGTGTTGGCGCCAGGGTGGGCCCTGGAATGTGCTTGGGATTCTGTTCTCTGAGGCCTTCCCAGGTGTTTGGGGCCCAGGAGGAACTCAGGATGAATAACCACCTCCCTTGGAGTGGAAAACAAGCTTCTCTGGGCCCATTCAGAGCAAGGGAACCGCAGAGCAGGAGTCGCTGTGACCCGCCCCCCCGAGGAGGAGCCGGATGGAGACCCTTGGGCTTCCCAGCCTCACACCCGCCTGTGCACTCAGGTTGACCCCGGGGGCCCCAAGTGGTGTGCCTGTGCCCCGTGGCCGCAGAATACTGTCCAGCAGGGCGGGACAGTGGTCAGTGTGGGGCTCAGGATTGTGGCCAGTCTGGGGAATCTCTGAGCTCCAGGTGGGCCCGGACGCTTGGAAATGCGGGCTCTCATCGCCACGGCCACCAAGTGGGGACACCCTGCCGACACACACAGCCAGGTGACATCCCACGGAGGGGACAGTCCCCAAGTAAGGGGGGCAGGAGGGATCTGCCCCAGTAAGGCGACAAGAGGAAGGAGATCCCGGCTGACCAGTGCCTTGGGGAAGGATTGGGAAGCACCTTGGAGCAGCCTCACCGAGACTGAGTGGGCAGTGACCATGCGACGCACCTGAAGGGGTCAGGCTGGCATTAAAAACAGAAGAAGGGGCGTCTGGCTGGGTCCCGGGCGCGGGCGACTCTTGACCTCCGAGTTGGAAGTTCAAGCCCCACGTTGGGTATAGAGATCACTTAAAACATAAAAAATATTTGGGGCGCCTGGGGGGCTCAGTGGGTTAAGCCTCTGCCTCCGGCTCAGGTCATGATCCCAGCGTCCTGGGATGGAGCCCCGCTTCGGGCTCTCTGCTCGGCGGGGAGCCTGCTTCCCTCGCTCTCTGCCTGCCTCTCTGCCTGCTTGTGATCTCTGTCTGTCAAATAAATAAATAAAATCTTTAAAATAGAAATAAAAATAAAAATAAAAATAAAAAATATTTTAAAAAGAAAAGGAATTCCAGGAACTAGACATCAGAATGTCCCCCAGATACACACGGGAAGCTGTTGTCGCAGGCAATGGCCCTCCGCGGGGCTCCGAGTCCCCAGGTAGAAGGCACTCACGGTATTGTTCACTCAACATTGGTCAAGGCTCTGAGTCGCAAGCCGGCAGGTGGTGGGGAGGTGGCAGGACCCCGTGGCCCCCGTGCTCTGCTCCTGCCCAAGTCACGCAGGCTTCCATCTCTGCACCTGCTGTCTCCCAGGTGGCATTCCTCTGTCACTGCCCTTCCTGCACCTACACTCAGAGATGGTGATGCTTATCCCGTTTTCAGAAGCCCCCCTGACGCCTGGGACTTGAAGCCACCTGCACTGCTGGCTGGGGGACCCCGGAGCCCAGCACTGCCTCTGCTCTGGAGTCAAGTCCTTGCAGAGCTGGGTCAGAGACCGGTGGACCCCCTGGGTTCCCTCTGCCATTCCCTGGGGATGGGGGAGGCTGGAGGGCGGGGAGGGGGGAGGCCGCCTGAGGGAGCAGAGGGAGGGGGTGGGGTGGATGAGAAGGGGCTGAGCGGTGGGAGGAGGAGCCCAGAGCTCTAAGTTTCCATTTCCTGCCGCCTGGGGGAAGGCAGGTAGGGCGGGGAGGGGCGGGGCCTCGGACGGAGGCCTGCTGGGGCCTCGTGCCCCAGACTCTGGGGGTGCCCTGGCACCTGGCCAGGCTGCAGGGAGGGGCCAGGCACACGGTGGCCAGGAGCCCAGACTCCCAGATCTCAGCGCCAGGAGCCCGGGGGACGCCCCGCCCCCATCTCAGTAGCCAAAGTCAGCTCTTTGTTCTGGTCCAGTTCCCGCATCCCCCCAGGGAGGGGTCTCTCTCTCTGGGGAGAAAATGGGCATGTCAGGCTCCTGTCCCTCGCCTGCCCCTCCCAGGCTGCTGGGCCTGCTGGCCTGGGAGGTGGAGAGATCCTGCCCCAGCTCTGGCCTCCAGCCGCTGTGCATCTCCGGGGGGTGCCCACGGCCCAGGCCAGGCCAGGCAGGCCCTGTGCCTCCTCTCCCCGTCCTTGCCGTCCGCCACATCGCCCTGCTCCTGCTCTCCCATGATTTCCAAGGTCCCCAGCCTGCTCGCCCACGGGCCCAGGTGGGGTGGAGGAGATCTGGGAAGTGGAAAGCACAGAGCCGGAGATGGGGACAAAACAGACCGAGGGACGACAAGGCAGCTCTGGCCGGGGCTCAGGCCTGCGGAGACCCCACCAGTCACCCGCAGCCGGCCCGGGACGGTCGCTCTGAGGGTCCACGTTCGCAGGCCCCAGGCATGAGGCTGTTGCTCGCTCGGCTGTGCTCCAGCCTGTGGGGACGTCTCTTGTGCAAAGAGCCCACCTCGTGTCCCCATGGGGCATCTTATCGAACATGCCGTTTCTCCTCAGCTGGGGACCCAGACTGTCACCCTGTGAGTGTCTCTGGAGTCCCCTCGGCTGTGCCGTTGTGAGGAGGTGAAGTGGGAAGACGGGGGTCTCTGAGGAAAACGCAGGAGAAATGGATTCGGGAGGACAGGGGTGCACAGAGAGGAGGGGCCAGCTGGGGGTCGGGGAGGGCAGTGTGAGGGGCAGCAGACACCACACCCACGAGGGGTTCTAAGGCTGGGGGAGGGACCACTGGGAGCCCAGCAGATTCTAAGAGGAGAAGATGGAAGTGGGGTGTTGATGCCACGGACCCCCTCCTGCAGGGCCTCCTGGCACAGTGCCATCACTCGTGAGCACCTATAGCAACTGCCCCTCTGGCCGCCTTTCCAGCCTGGCCAGTAGACAGCAGGTGTCCCTGTCACTGGGGCTGGAGGGGGCGCCGCATGGCTTCCCTAAGTCCTGTCCACCCCTCTCCAAAGAGCACCTCGGGCCACGCTCCTCCTATTTTTCTGGTTTGGACGCGCCGTCTGTTCTCTGCAGGCAATTTGGTCAAACCTGCCTTTGCCTGATTCCCATTCGGGGAGGGACTCAGACTGGCAGCCCTTCTGTCCCCTCCCCGAGCAGAGGATAACCTGACCCCCTCTTCCAAGAGTTCTCTGGGGACCAGAGCAGAGCAGACTCTGCAGAACATGCTGGCCTGGGTTTCCGGGGCCCAGACTGAAAGTAGGGGACCCAGGGCCTCCGCGGATGAGGGAAACAGAGGCCAAAGAAAATTTGCATTTCCTCAACCTACAGCCCAGGGACTGACAAGCCCTGGAATGAGGCAGAGCGACCCCCTTCTAGGGGCTCAGCTGCCTTGATGCTGACACTTTGCTAAGGGCAACAAGCCATTCTGGCCCGACCCCCGGGATCCTGTAAGTCTATTTTAACATAAAAATTCCTCTGGAAACTTCCTTTATCTCTAAACCCCAAGATAC